AAACTTATGCACTTAAGCTAACGCGCATCAGTTATAGAAAAGAAAACAATCGAAACACTCACACCAATAAATGCCACAATAAAAACCGCAGAAAAAAAAAAAAGAAGAAAAATTATTCAAAAAGTGTGAAAGAAAAAGACCTTGAATAATTTTATTCGGTTTTGGATTATATTTCGAAGCAAGTAAAAAAAAAAATTCGTTTTTTTTTTCTTTAATTCAACCTTGGGTCTATTCTTGAATTGTACATATACATACATGCCATCCGAAAGGTAATTTCTCCTATTTGTAGACACATTGATTCGGATTATTTTCATTCCGAAATTGTAAAATACATTCTGGCCAAGAAATACGAAGAAGAAGAGCATATAAAGCGAATAAGAAAAGTGGAAATAAGGCGTAGCAGGTAATTTCACGATCGCCCGAAGGGATAGTTGAATTGGCGTGTGTGAAAGAATACACAAATATAGAATTTGTGTCAGTAAGAAGTTAAATACGAAGCTAAAGATTAATGAAAATGAAGATGAACAGCAGAACTTAAAGGTATGAATAAATAGATTTTTGTTAGATAAGAAAAAAAATAATAGAGGAAAAGACCGGAAACACAGAAAGCACAGCAAGTATATGACTAAAGAAGAGGTGTACGTAAGATGGAAAGTCAGAGAGCTGAGAAATGCGGCCAAAAGGGAAAACAAAGTGGAAAGTAGACAGACGGACACTAATCATAAAAAGCGATAAATAGTTAATGTCGCAATTTTCTTCATACACAAAATATAAACTAATTTTCGTGTTATTGCATAGTTACCAAAACCTGAGATTATATTCAAAATTTGTACATCCATCACCGAAGTATTCAATTCATCAAAACGTTTGCAATACCGAGAAAGAAGCTTCAGCGACCCCACAAAGCATATATATTACCGATCTGAATCGTTTTAAGCATGCCAGTCTGCCCGTCTGCCCGTCTTTCTCCTGACCATTCGAAAGCTTACCATGAAATTTGGTATTGAATATGGGCGAAATCAGTCGAAGGACATGCCTACAGTGTCACGGAAACTGCTCACAACTTTGTTTTTCAAAAGAAGTAAAAAATTAGTTATTTTCCCATTATTCGAGATAAATGTACAAAAATTTGACCGTATGACCGATGATGGTATTTTTTGTTTTTTTTTTTTTTTTTTTTAATAGCTTATAAAATATATAAATTCTTGGCCAATTTCAAACTGAAAATGCATCTAAGCATATCCGTCTGGTCGCGTGTGCAACTGTGTAATACCTGTTGTAAGCATTTTCCCAATGGATTACAAAATTGTCGAAAGATTTGAAGGACACGCCTAGTATGATGACATGTTTATGTAATATAAACTACAAACGACTTTGCTTGCTAATCGGAAAGTACAACACATACAATCATAACAATTTTCATTTGTATTCTGGAAATTAAAAAAATCAGCCGCGCCCACTCAATATTACAGAAAATGAAATTTTAATTCTTTCCCGTTTTTTTTTTTTTTTTTTTTTTTTTTTTTAGCCTCTTTAAGGTAAATAGTGATGGGTATAAATGATTCCGTTACAATCGAATGGAGTTTTCTTACATATTCATGTTCGTTTGAGCGTTGCAACACACCGCCATTTTTTGATGGCCTAACATAGATGAACATAACTAAATTCATTGACAAAGTCACATGTCTTTTCAAAATACTATATATGACACTTAACGATCTTTTAAGAGATTTAGTGTAATATCGTCTCTGCCAGTCTTTGCAATTTTCCGTATTATGAAAGCAATTCTTACAAAATTTTTGATGATTAAAGTAAAGGATAACAACTAAGTTCATTTCTTTACTTGAACCATGCAACAATAGGCAAAGATCATTGCACACTTCAAACACATTCGTATACACTTGTATGTTATGTGTTGTGTGTCTGTTTAAGAAATTTTTAAATATTTTCATCATTAAATATAGAAATACCGAAGATTCATGAAAGTGACATGTATTCATGCCGCTAAAAATGGTCCCATTTAGTTTATAGACACGTCGGCAAATAACCCAAAAATTGTACGATTTATGTGTAATCACTTTAAATTGTGACTGCCCGAAATTCATCCCAAGGCGAATATACGCAGTTATCTTATATTTCATTCTTTTTATTTTTAACTTTGCATAAAAATAATGAAGAAAAAAACGAAAGCAAATATTTTGTCGGACATAGATTTTCCATAAGACTGTATGACATAGCACTTACTTCTTCTATTTTTACGTTCTGTCTTTCATCTTTCGTTTATAATCCGGTCTATTCATAGCGACACAAAAATAAGGAGCAAAAAATTAAAAAAAAAAAAAAGCAGAATAATATTATAAACGAATTCGGTTCGAATCTTTGTTACCCCCAATCATCGCTTGCATGAACTTGTTTTTTTTTTTTTTTTTTTTTTTTTTTTTTTTTTTTTTTTTTTTTTTTATTTTTTTTTTTTTTTTTTTTTTTTTTTTTTTTTTTTTTTTTTTTTTTTAATCATTCCATTAGGTCGACCGTCTATTTTTGCTCTCTGGAATATAATGCAAATATGACTTTAATAACATATTGGCATGAAAGGAAATTTATTTTAATTACATAAAACTTGAAACACCTCTTCGCTATTAGCATAATGTAGATTAGCTTACTGAAATCAATTTGTTGCGAACATTCAATCTTGAATGAAAGATTGTACAAATCGTTGTAATGATTATAAGCCGAGATCATCGATTATCAAATACATCGCTTCGATCAAACATAAGCTTATGGAACATTTAACACAAATCGTGATCGAGCGATCATTCGCTCATTTTATTTATTTTGTTTTTTTTTTCTTTTTTTTTTTTACTTAAATCAACTCTTAAACTGCTGGGTGGTCAGTTAGTCATTTTTATCATTAATCTCGAAAATTGAAAATGCATTTGAAAGTAGATAACAGAGATCCCACATATACTGTGTAAATTATTAGCAAAAGTATATTAAATCGTTCGCTTGCCGCCCATCTGTCTGTCTGTCTGTCTTTCTGTCCATCCATTAATTTAGTGTTTTTAGAATCTTAGCCATGTAATGTGGTTATAGTTTATTTCGCTAAGGGAGGATTTTAATATAATAAACAAGCCTACTTGGGATACAACAGCCATCCTCCCCCCTCCTCCTCCTTCCCAAAACAAAAAAATAAAAAAAAAGTAAATAGCTAAACTATATTAAAAAAAATTTTTAATCAAGAATCTGCAAAATAGGGATATAACAATTTATGCAAAAAAATAATTTTGCCACGCCTACAACTGATACTCATGTTCATGTTCATGTAAAGAATGAATGTTCAATATGCGCTTTGAAATATACATAACTGACGTAGTACTGCAAGCCGTAGTAGCAGTAGTATTTGTTTCTCTCTTTGTTTTTCGATTCGTTATCTCCGCATTTGTCATAATATGTACATGCGTGTATGTGTTTGTACGCAATCACTTTGAGCCTGATGATATTTATGCAAAAAGCATAAATATACTTAGAGAGATGGTTTAACCAGAATCTCAAACATAATTTATTCAATGCATTACAGTAATGACATGCAATGAGTAAATGTTGCGTAAATATTCAAACGCATAGAAGAATAGTCGAGAAACCGCATTAGGTGGTTATTAAACGTATCATCTTACTTTTCTCTCTATCGTCGTTATTTGCCTTTAGTCCTTCCTAGACACGTTTAATTAATCTTTATTGAGAATTGTGTTCTCTCTCTCTCTTTCTCTCTCTCTCTCTTTCGTTCGTTTTCTTTTTCAACTTCTTTTTAAATATGTTTAAATTTCTCTTTTTTTATCTTTTTTATTAGATACCACAAATGATTATGTTAACATTCGATGGTGCTGTGAATTTAAATAATTATGATCATTATTCGAAAATTTTCAATGGCAAACGGAAAAATCCCAATGGCTGTAATATACGTGGTACATTCTTCTTGTCGCACGAGTACAGGTAAGCGGCAATGAAAGTCATTTAATATTTTCATATTCATGCTTGTTTCAAATAAGGAAAATCCAAAATTCTCAATTTTTCTTTAATTCTCTCACAATTTTAATAAAGAGAACGGAAGCTAAATAAAAGAAATTAAATTAATTGTAATTTAATTATGTTATAATCATAATGAAGAACATTAAATATAATCAAGTGACACGAATTTTCTTCATACATTTTATGTAGTCAATGCACGCAATGCTGGTTTGTAAGCGCTGCGGCAGCATGTCATTGAGCAAACGATGGGAAATTAGAAATTTGTTAATGATTATGGTAGGCCATCTCCTTGTAGTCTCTTGTTAAGATCAAGATCCTCTGAATAAACAACAAGTTGCTTGAATTGAAATAAAAGAAATACTGCTTCCCGTACTGTACTGTATATCTGCACAATACTGTCTAGTAAAACAAAAACGGGAAGGGATCAGGGACTTGATATCCATCGATAGATTTAGTTCACTAACTACAGAAGTCAAAACGGCTTTAACAAAAACAAAGAAAAGTTAATTAGTACCTTCCCTTTTTCTTATTTTTATTTATTTATTTAATTTTATTTTTTTTTTTTTTTGTTTTTATCTTTCTTTCCCCACTCTCTTCAATTCTTGGTCTATTTAACGTAATTAAATACCAGAAAAAAAAGCAGTCAAACGATTTGAAACGTGAAATGACATCGTAAAATTTTTAACTATCACACATATATATATAATATATCATATAAATCTTAAGGGTAGAAAATAAGAAAACCAAAAACAAATATATATATACCTATATTTGTATACGTAGAGTAAATTTTGGATATGCATCACTGTAGACTATTGTTAAATACTTATTACGCTTAATTCATTAGCCGTTTGCCCTTAATTGGACCTATATGGATGAAAGTTTCGAACGAAACTTTAGTAAATATCTCGCGGGTTTGAAGAAAGTTTTTTTTTTTTACAGGTTTTATATTTTATTCACGCTTATTTTTATTTTTTTTGTTTTTTATTTATTTATTTATTTTTCTTTTTTTTTTTTTCTTTTTTTTTTTTTTTTTTTTTTTTATATAAATAAGGAATATATATGGACCAGATATATATTTCAGATTTTTATCTCAGTTGTTATGGTAATAGACAATAGGCAGACAACCGGATATATTAACCAACAACATATAATAGACGGATAGGTATCGGTGACTTAAGCGACTGTGTGTACACATTATTCCAACAACTTTCTGAAGATAGCATGGCAAGATAACAGAAACAGATTGCCCAAAGGTGAATGATGAATATGTTCCAGAATTTAAATTTCATAAGTGAATTTCTGCAATCGTAAGCGCTTAAAGTACGAACATAGATATACTGAATGGCTTTTGTGCATATGCACTTGTTCGTGTTACAAACAAAATGATAGAGCTAATCTACATTGAAATGTTAGAGATGAATGGGAAAAGCTTAAGAAAAGAACGATAAAATACGGGATAAAAGTAGAACTAAAAACCAACACAAGCCACGCATTTCCGCTGTTTCAGAAATAGGAAAAATGAAGATCTAAGCGGAAGTCGGGCATTTAAAATAGTAAAAGGAATAATAATAAATAAAAACTGTAAAAAAAAAAAAAAAAAGAAAGAAAAAAAGCAAAACAAGCAAAAAAAAAACGAAAAGTAGCAAAAATCCTATTTTCATAACTACTATGTACACGACGATATATGCGCACATGTGTGTATATAGCTAAAAAATGAAATATTTTCTTTCTCTTTATTTGTGTTTTTTTTTTCCCCCATTTTTTTCTATTTGAAAATCGAGTAAATAATAAACTATTTTGAACACACAAAAGTTAAGAACATTGCGCGCTTACATATGTATCGTGTGACTGTATGATATGTACACAGAAAGTTTATCATTTGTTTTATGAAAATGCGGGAGAGAAAGAGTTTTCCGAGAAAAAAATTATTAAATACCAAAAACGAAAGACTGCACTTAAAATTCAGACATAAGCAAAAAAAAAAAAAAAAAAGAAGAAAGAAAAGTAGAAAATAAGGAAAAGCAAAGGCGAACAGTTTATGAAAAACTATGATTTAATGGTATTTCTTTGATGTTTTTATATTTTTTTGATTTTTCTTCTTTTTTTATCGTTTTCCCTTTCTCCTTTCTTTTTTTTTTTTTTTTTTTGTTAAAGTCTTGTCTCTTTGTTTTATAGCAAAATTATGAACACTTGCCGTTGAGCAATTTAAAAAGAAATGCATCCACACATATAAACGCACACAGCCAACCGGAAAGAGAAAATTATGTTTTGTGTATCATTTCGTATAAAAGAGCAAAGAAGAATCGGAAAAAAAACAAAAAAAAAAAAAAAAAAAAGAAGAAGAAGAAGAAGAAAGGCGAAGAAGTTAGAAAGCTACAGTCAGTTGCCTTTCGGGGCGAATCTTTATTACCCGCAGCTAATGTTATTGAGCTCAGATACATATTGCTGCGAAATTTCAGATTTCAAACCTCGCACATACACACACACACACACACTCGCGCGCACACACACACACACACACACACAATGCGCAACGATTTTGTTGAACTACTTTGGACATTGTACGTACATGTACAGTTTATTTCAAGGGCTGAAGGCTCAAGTTAATGAAACTTTCTTAATTTTACTGAGCCTTTCGAAAGGTACGACAGACACGAAGACATAACGGTACCTATGCTACAATACGATATAAAGCCTTATTTCCGGATATCACAATTAAAGCGTTGAACTTAATATACCAACTTTTGCCGTTGGCGCATATAAAAAAAAAAGAAACCCAACTAAAAAAAGTTATGATGATGTCGTAATAAATTTGTGCTTTTAAGTGTAATAAATTGCTCAACATTAGTTTTGTATTTCACCCAAAGCGGAAAACAAAATAATTATTTTCTCTAAATATTTTTTTGAAGAACTCATAAAAAACAACAACAACAACAATAATAATAACAGCAACAACAACAACAAACAGTAGCCAGCTTACCAACATAGAGACAAGAAATAAAATATTAATAAAAAACTTCAACCATAAAATAACTTTTACTCCAAGTTTAAAACAAAGGCGAACCGAGTTGCGTAATATTAATTAACTACAGTTGATTATTAAAAATGATAACCTCTCGGAACAGATAAGATTTTCAAGAGTCACAAGTTCTCGATATCCATTAGGCGCGCATGCACTGCTACGCACATCTACCTCTGTAGAGACAGACATCATCAATTCATTAATTTTTTTATTCATCATTCCCCCCCCCTCCCCCCGGCCCCCCCTCCCCCTCTCACACCTCTTCTTCCCCTTTTTTTAATACTCTTATTCACAAGTTTGCTTTGAGAGAATAAAAGGAATCGGAAAATCTTTACTTATGAAAATTTACCGTAATTCTACCTAAATTGGCCCTTGAAGATTTGTTTATTGTTTATAGCTCTCAAGAATATATCAGTAAATAAAACTGTTATAGATCTAATTGGAATGTATTAGGCCTACGGAAGAGTTCTGTTCGTTCTGGTTCCAACAAGTTTCAACAAATATGCGCATATTAATTTAACGGGAATATTTGGCTCTCGATTTTTATCACTGAATGTGTGTATGTATGCTGACCTAGCAAATAAACTAAAACGAAAATGACTCATCCACGATCCGTGAGTACAAACTTCAACAAGGTAGAAATGTTGCAGAAGCGTGTAAAAATTGATTGAAAGTGCTTGGTGAAGGTACGGTTTTTGAGCGACCATGCAGATGGTGATTCGACAAAACTCACACAAGTCAAGGTGTGGGCGGCCACCTTGATTGATCGATGGCGATACTGTCAAAATCTAGTTAGCGCAAAATCCTCTTTTGAGAACACGGAAATTTCGGAATGGCTTGATTCAACTTCAGACCATTACGGATCATATTCAAAACTTTGCAGTAGACCTATTATAAACTATATACACATTTTGTTTATCCCCACATCACTTGTTCAGAATTATAATCTGAACTGATCTAAACCTGTCTGTCCATCTGATGTCTGGCGTCTGGTAAATTTGCGTTCATGCTAAAGGTTGCAATTTTTACAGGATTCTAATGAAATTTAATGCAATGACGTGTTTTGATCCAAGGACGAGCGCTATGGAAAATGATTCAGATCGGTCCACTTTTACGACCATTTCCTATATAACGATCTATTATGAAGAATCGGGTATATGGGAAAAAATTGTCATTTTGAAAATTTTGGAGTAAAAGTGACTAAGTAGTAGTATTTCGACATTGTAAATTTGGACCGGCTGGGGCAATGTTTAAACCCTCTCTCATATAACGAAAACTAAAGCTCATACGAAATTGTGAGCCATTGAAAATGATATCATAATATTAATTTAATATAAAAAAATTAAGTGTATTAAATTTGGAACGACTCGAGCGAATTTTTCTCAAATTTTTGGAATTAGAATCATTTTGTGAAAGTAATAAAACAATTTCAAATTTTCTTTTAAAATAAAATCACTTTCGTCAAAAAGTGGATTCGTTCTTCTGAAATTTACGGAACGCTCAACATATATACATGCTATACTCTATTAGATCCTCTGAAGCTTCCTTTTAAATATTGCAAACATTATGACATAATGAGTGTGCAACCATCCTTTAATGAAAAAATTTTTAAAAATTATTATTGATAACTAAGAGCCCAAAATTACATAGAAATTACTTACGAAGTACGTGACCACGCCTAGCCAACATTATAGTATATCTAAATTAGTTTTTTTTTTTTCGCAGAAACAAGTTTCAAAAACTCCATAAAGTATATAAATTCCTGGTCAATCTGTTCGTCTGTTCAACCGTTTAGTATCTGTGGTAAAGATTGTTCCGTTAATGAAAATTTGTGAAAGTATTTGGAAGTGATCTAAGCATTTCAAAGGATACTTGTGTGCGGTAAAAACTTTCATTTGGAAAATAGTAAAAATCGGCCGCGCCCTCCCCTCTATATTAT